ATATATATATATTCTTGGCTCTCCTGCTGGTTATACTACCGTGGCATTCATGGACGACCATAATCATATGTTTGTATACTCTAAAACAGCTTCATAATTGACAAAGTGACATGACTGAAATGAATTGATCATTAATCTATATTTCCTGCAAGCCTCGGGCAATTCTTCAGGCTTTGGAGGATTAGGAGCCATGAAGCTGAAAAAGGTGTCCCTCCAAGTAGCCATGGGAGAGTTAAACAGATCAAAATTGCTATTGTAAACGACCTTTCTAGTGACATCCCGGGTGTAGAATTCTTTCTTCAACTCCGTGTCTTGCTCGAAAAACTGACGTACCGCATTTTCCATCTCCTCAAGAACACTCAAAGAAATTCCATGGTTGACGACTTGGAAGAAGCCCCACGTCTTTGACGCCTCTCTTACTCTCTCAACGATCTCCTCGCGTTGAATTGGATCTTTGGTTAGGCCTTTGAGGTCTATAACTGGAATACTCAACTGGGATTCTCCAGATATTGAGTATTTGTTGATGTCGTTTGATTGGTTGCAGAAGAAACGAGGGATCTTAGTTATCCCAGAATCAACAAGTCCTTTTACACCAGCCTTTGTGTCATCAAAAGCTCTTTGTTCGCTTAGTCTATCATAATTTGACTCAGATATTGCCAGAGATTCATCTTTGGTGGTTGCCACCATTTTCTTTCTTTCTTTCCTTTTTTTTTTTTTTTTTTTTTTTTTTTTTTTTTTTTTTTTTTCCTAATGGATTAGATTGGTTTGTTCTGTGTAGATTTTTATTAGGCAATGAGAGACTAAGAGAGGGTCAATTTTGTGATGCTGAAAATAACAACAAAGGTCCTGAACAGTAGTTGTCCACTTCAATTAAAATCACTATGAGTCAAAATTATTGTTTATATCAAAATTTTATTATATAAATAGTAACTATAAATATAAGTACTATAAAAATAGTAATAGTAAATATTGTTGAAAAATTTCTTTTAAATAGAGCTTTAGAGCTCTTTATTTTATATACATTTACAAGATTAATAAAATTCTTTCTCTTTTTCGTTTTTCTCTCTAAAGTTTTCTTCTTAGTTTTGTATTTTTTTAATTTTTATAACACATTATCAACGCGAACGTTTTATTCCTACTACGATTGTGTACATTCATTAATTTAAAGAAATGAGACTCCGATTCAATTAAAAACATATAGCTTAAAGTCAAAAGAAAGTAGGTCCTAGTCCTACTACAAGTTTCTACCATTATTAATTCAAATGAAAAGTATGTAAATATACTTTGTTATTTTATATTCATACAAAATAGGACTATGACACCAACGTATTATAATTTATATAATTTTTTCGTTATACACCCTTTGAAAGATTTACCAAGTAATTTAGCGTGTTTGTATTTTCATAAATGGACGATTATACCGCCTGTTAAAACAAAACAAAAAACAAAACAAAAAAACTACAATTGTCACGTGGGAGGTTGAAAAACTTCCTAGAAGAAGTGGGTAGGTGAAGAAAGAGTAAAATGTGTTAGTGAGGAATTTGATGAAAAATAACGTGAGGAAATTTAGAAAACTGTTATACATGAATGGGGGTAATCCTTCAGATATAAAAGCAACTAATCATATTTAAATATTATGAAAAAGAACCAATCAAAACAAAAGTGGAGAATTAAAAAAATTGATTGACTAATTAAAAAATAAATACAGAAAAAAGTAGTAGGTTTGCTTAAGACGTCAATATATAGGCATGGGAGGGCAGATTATTACGACCCACGTAGCAAACTTTGTGCAGAGAAAGTGAGTGTATTGCAAGAAGTGAGAGAAGGTGTGAGATAATGTGTGAAGATAGAATTGTCAAAAAAAAAATAAAAATAGAGATAGAAAAATTTGTCCTTTACTCATCTACTTTAATCTCATTATGATGTTTGGCACACAAAATTATCTACACGTTTTCTCTTCTCAGGCCTTCTTCCGTACCGAAATACCATCTCAAGACTAGAAGTTTATCTGTCATTATTGGTCAGATTCATATTTAAGACATACGGGTTGCAAACTTTTGAACCCAATCAAGAAAAATTATGAGATTGTAAGTTTTAGAATCTTTTAAAAAAAAATTAAAATAGAGTTGCAAGTTTTAGAACTCTATAAAATTATGGAGTTGTAAAATTTAGAACCTCTAAAAAAATCAAAATAGAATTGTAAATTTTTAAACTTTTGAACCCAATCAAGAAAAATTATGAGATTGTAAGTTTTAGAATCTTTTAAAAAAAAATTAAAATAGAGTTGTAAGTTTTAGAACTCTATAAAATTATGGGGTTGTAAAATTTAGAACCTCTAAAAAAATCAAAATAGAATTGTAAATTTTAGAACTCTACAAAATTATAAAGTTGCAAGAATTAGAACCTTTAAAAAAAAGAGTCTGATCGTTATGATGCAACCTAAAAAAATATATATATGTGTAGATATGTATATATATGATGAATTTAACTATAATAATTCAGTTCAAAATATTATCATAATTTTAAATTTGACTTATAAAGGGCAATCCGAAATAAAAAAATTAATGAATACTTACAAAAAGATGTCTCCGTTTCCTGCCAAATATATATATATATATATATATATATTTAGTCAAAAGACTAAAACAAAAACTGACCGATGATAAAAGTTGAAAAGCAATTACTTTTTTTTGGCTAGAAATTGGAGGATGGCTCTCAAAGACAAAAGTGACGATTGTGTGAGAGAAAAGAAAGGAAAGACACTCACATACGCTTTCTCCAACGTCTGCAATAGACAACCAAAAAAAAGAAAAAAAAAAAGCAAGTACTTTTTTTTTAGAAGCAATTGGGCTGATGGCTCCACACGTAAATCGAGAAATGATGGCAATTGATGCTCTTCTTCATCCACGTACACACACACATACATATACCAAAAGCTCACGCTAGACTTGTTGTGATACTTGCTGTGATGTTTGCAGTGTAGAAGCTACAATGGCTCACGTGCACGTGTGAGCTCAAAAACTTATTGCGTGATATTTATGCTCCTAAGTGCATGTGTCGCAAATAAGTAATAAAGAGTGAATAAGAGTATCGATTTCACGAGGATTGAGTCACCAAAAGTATGAGTTAGAAGTTATATAATCAACAAAACAAGTAAAGAATGAATGTGGTAAAAATTCACTAAAATGATGTAAATAAAATGAATGCAAACTAAATGCGGTCTAAAGTGACTAACAGTAACAAGAACGTAATTATGGGCTATAATTCAGTGGTGAAAATGAGCTAGGTCTACTAATTTCCCCTCAATTGCAAGTCTGATTAGAATGTTACCTAGAATGCTGCAGCATTTTACTATCTCTGTTAACAAAAACTCCTTGATTGCATAAAGTTCTTCCGAATTAATTATAACTCAGGTTCCTCAAGCCATTTCTGATATATTCCTTTGTGAATCCAGCTCTAGGAATGCAGATTTAAGCTCAGGTTTCAATAAGTTATGCAAGGTGAATAATATATTTCTATATCATCCACTAATCAACAACTCAGTAAGTTTATTGAACATGCATCATTCATGCTAATCCAATTAAAACTAACCCTTCCAGTATTAATCTTAATCTTGTATCCTAAAATTGATGGCCAGTCAAGACTAGAAATAGACATTAACTCACATGAACGAACATGAATAGTAAATTAATAGCATCTCAGAAACAACTTATCATTCTTACAATCTTGGTTCCATTAGCAAACCTAGCTAAAGCAAATTAGTTCATAATAAGATTTACAAGATTCAAAGCTCCAGAATAATCCATAGCTAAATTAGTAGCTAAATAACAAAAGAAAGTTAAGCTAACAGAAGAAAAATAAATTTCAGCTGGAACTTGGATTCCTCTCTGGCCGGCCAAAATGTCCTTCAACTTCCAGCCCTCTTCTCACGTTTCTAATTCTTTTTCTGGGCTGAGTACTCTTTGTATTTCCTGCCTTCTTCAGCTCTCGTAAGAAGCTTTTTCCTCTCTGGGTAGTGCTCTGTGAGTTTTTCTAGAGAGGGGTGCTCTGTGTATTCTCTGTGTGGAAAAATAGTCTATGTCCTCCCTTTCCTATTTTAGCCCCGTTTCTCTCTCCTCCTTATTTTCCCTGGCAGCTGCCTCTTTGTCCTAAGAAAACATTCCCTTCTAGGGCAACACAAGGGCTAAGGTGTCACTTAATGATGTGTGCAGGGGACCACAATGACACCTGCTCATCCAGCTCACACGGACTCCTTTTGTCTGTTTTCTCCAGCTAGTGCGCTGACGTCAGACATATGCCAGCTGTTCCTAGAATCTTGCCAGAATGCCGCAACATTTAGCCTCAAAATTTCCTGCAAAGTGCGCACACAGCCTTAGTCAATTTTTTACCTCATTTTACTTCAAAATCATCAACTTTCACTTCAAGAGGAGCACCAGTATGGAATTAAGCCAAAGTGAGTGTAAACTATACAAATCTAAATTAAAACACACAATAAACTAGAAAAACACTCTTGGTCACACAATTTTTGAGCTAGAAACCCAGTGGATAACTCTAATTTCTTAGAGTTATCACACCCCCAAACTTAGAATGTTGCTTGTCCTCGAGCAAAATAAAAGTGACAACAAGACAGAAAGAATGAGCTCAAACAGAAAAAACTAATGCATACTTTGTGGATGAATTCTTAAGAGATATTTTCCTTACTAAATGGGTTAGAAGTGTAGCCTAAAGAAAAACATGATTTCCAGCCAAGTGCTGATCTCAAATTCAAGAGATTGCTTCGTCTCTGCTTTGACCTTTCTTGTGTGTGTGTGAACAACCAAGTGCTAAATCATCAATGTCAAACTAGTTGGGACCATGCACATGTGTTCTACATCAAGTTCTTCTTATTACAAGTTCAAACCCCATAAGCTTGCTTTTCTCAAGTCTCTCCACTAATTTAAATCAACACACCACCAAGGATCAATAGGACTTCATTAGGTTTGTAAAGCTAGGCTAGGGTGAAGGTAGGATGGAAGGTGATATTTTGGCCCAACTCACCTAAAGCACATAGCACTTTAGCACCTTGTAGACACACATAACATTCCCACGCAACTCCCCCAAACTCAAGTTTTATTTTCCCTTGTCCACCATATCTGTTTTTATTTCTAAATACCCTTTTATTGTACTCTTCTATATATTTTTTTTTAAAACTACCAAGAATTGCCAACTTGTCTTTTTACGCGAATGTCAACATTGGTGATGAAGTCATCCGGTTACTCAACGAGTTACAAATCAAGGCGCTAAAATTTTTTTTTTTTTTTTTAGCTTGCTCTTACCTTGGTCTGCTGTTTGACACAAAAGTGAACATGAGGCTCATGCTCACTCCTGGTTACTAAGCATTTCGAAGCAGCGGAGCAAAGTTTTCTCTATTTTTTTTTATATTTATATGAGGGACACATACTAGAGATTAAAAGCTCAAGCACCCTCTGCCCCCAAACTTAAAATTAGCATTGTCCTCAATGGTGCAAGAGGAGCAAGAAAAGAGCAATATCAAAAACTTCCTTCAACAACTAGGCTAAAGATACGGGTACAAGGAAAATGGGAGAAATAAGCTCAACAGGGTATGCTAAGGATATGTTGAATGAAGGTCAGCCACAAAGCTCAAACGGTCCAAAGACAGCCTAAATCATTTCCTTAGTATTGTGTTAATTGGAGATTTCACCTCAAG